AAAACGAAAAACCTATTTATGGTAAGAAATTTAGGGCAAATAAAACCTAACAAATCTCCCCCTTGGCCTGAATTTCTGACAAAATAAATTTGTCTACCTTCTTTACTTAATCTTCAACTACTTGATTCTCCTCTCCATAATCTCCTTTCCAAAATTTATGTCTCAACACAGAGAACCTCTCTGAAAAAATTTCTCCAACAAAATCTCCATTACGGTCAAAAAGTTGCGGCTAGAACTACACCCGTCAAGATGAACACCTCTTTCTAACCTGGTTCAATAATCAATTATCGAACAACTGAACATGACTTCATCATTGAATCTTGCTCTGACCACTTGTTAGGACAAAAAATAAGCAGGTGTAAATGCGGAAGCTAGCAATGCAAACCTCGAAATATCACGATTAAGATTACAATGAGAAATACATCAAAAGACATAAAGATTTAACGTGGTTCGGTGAATCGACCTACGTCCACATAGGAGATGAGCAATCCACTATAAATATGAACGTACAAAATACAGAGAGAAACAACCTCAACCACTTCACTCGAAATACATGGAAGTTTCACACAAGTGATAACATATCAAACTTGTGACCCATAAATTCTCCCCCTAACCAAAACTCTCAAAGCCTTTAAGGCTATATTGTGAATGCTAATTAAGTTAGAGAGAACATATCTCTGTTTATAGAGTCATAAACCTTTTCCTACGAGAAAAAAATATTAGTCAATCCAAAACCTTTTCCTAAAAGGAAAACATATTTATGGTAAGAAATTTAGGGCAAATAAAACCCAACAAATCTCCCCCTTGGCCTGAATTTCTGACAAAATAAATTTGTCCACCTTCTTTACTTAATCTTCAACAACTTGCTTCTCCTCTCCATAATCTCCTTTGCAAAATTTATGTATCAACACAGAGAACCTCTCTAAAAGAATTTCCTATTTATGATAAGAAATTTAGGGCAAATAGAACCCAACATTAGCATGCATCAATAAGAAAAAAGCAATCAACATTCAACCATAACAAAATCAACAAATAGACCTAAATGGTCACCCAAGTTGAGGGAATTGACTTGAAATATTATTTATGTTTCATTTATGATAAAAATAACACCCAACTATCACTATTTTCCTTCAAATATACTTGACACTTAAAAAACATCACTCTCTCCTAGTTGGTATGACATGTCATTAAATTTTTTTTTACTAATAGACTAATTTAATTCATTAAGTTCATTTAACTAAAATAATGATCATATTATTTTTAATTTTTTATTAATTTATTAATAAAAAATTTTCATACTTAAAATCTCTTATCATAATTAAAAATTTTATTTTTTTATGTTACGCAGAATACATTTTTAGAATGTACTATAATCTCATAAATTTTGAATACTTCTAAACACATACATTCAAAAAATATTGATTTACAAATCATTCATGAACACTAATTTGCTTTAATTAATCATAAATCGTATAATGAATCAATAATATTAAAAATCGATAAATTATTTTAAAAAAACAATTATTTGGGTGCTTTGAAATCCATATATTCTTACAATATGATTTAAAAAGAAAATAGTAAGTGAATAATATTTATAGAAAATAAAATTTTAATTTTATTTATCAATATATTAATCTCATATAATATGTATATTATTGAATAGTATCATGAAATTCAATTAATTATTAGTTTATTTATTGATGTTTAATTGTATGAAAATTTATATTATAATATAATATAAACAAAAGTGTAAAAAACAAAAATAAAATTAAAAAAAAGATAAATTCTTGCCATTTTTTGTCAACCTTACAAATTTATCTAAATACTTTTATAAAACAAATTTCTTAAAATTTTCAAATAATTTAGTTAGGAATTTTAAAACTATGAGGTAATAAGTGCACACAGAGATCTTTTCATTATATTTTTTTGGTGACAATATATAAAGTTACTAGACTTTTATTTTTTTTTCTTATAATCTTCATAAATTGTCATGTAATTTTTATATTTATTTTGAAGAGACATAAATTTAATGAATTGAATATGTCTATTATTTTTCAAAATGATGATTTAATGACTGACATATCAACTAAAATTTAAGGAGACTTTTGAGGTATTGAATATTTCTAATGGATTAAAAATATAATATTATTCAGTTACTATTTTCTTTTTAAAAAATATATTGTAAGTATATATGGATTTCAAAGAACCCAAATAGTTACTTTTTTTTAAATAATTAATCGACCTTTAATATTATTGATTAATCATACAACTTATGATTAATTGATGTAAATTAGCGTTCATGAGTGATTTGTACATTAATATTTTATTGAATGTAAGTCTATATAAGTAATCAAAATTGATAAAATTATAGTACTTTTTTAAAATGTATTCTTCATAACATAAAAAAGTAAAAAGTTTAATTTTGATAAAAGATTTGAAGTATGAAAATTTATTCTTAATAAACTAATAAAAAAATAAAAAATAATATGATCATTATTTTAGTTAAATGGGTTCAATGAATTAAATTAGTCTAAGAAATTTAATGACATGTCATGTCAACTAGGAGAGAGTGATTATTTTGTAATGTTAAGTATATTTGGAGGAAAATAGTGATGGAATGAACATAAATGATACTTCATGACAATTCTCTTAAATTGGGTGACCATTTAGAAAATTGACTCAGATTCAACAATAGCGAGAAAACTTAAACAAAAGCCAAAGATTTTATATTAAAAAATCAACCAAGCTTTACCCAAGTATTTTCAGTCCCTCAATTGCGATTCTGAATGATGAAACAAAAAAAAAGGCACATATTTTCGAAAGAAAACACTACTAGGAGTTAAAACGACTTAAACTTTCACAAAAAAGAACAACTTCACGGAAAGGAATTCATGTTAAGCTTACCAAAACTTTAGTCATTTACAAACAATAACAAGACAGAAACCAAACATGTAATCTATACTATATTAAAGGAAAGTCAAATGTCAAACCCAACAGAATAGCAAGATAGCTCGTTTTAAACATAAATAAAAGCTAATACAACAATGATCTTCATTCAAAACTGGAAAATGCTAAATAACTAATTTAAATAGTTGGACTAAACCATCAGAGAACTTTGCTATTCTTTTGAAAGAAAAACCAGACCTAAAATTTTTTGTAAAAAATAAAAAAACATTAAATACACCGAATACAAATACTGATATTAACAAACAAGGGAAACAAAGACATATAGGTTCATCAAAGTTCACGCAAATAAACTCAAGAAGAGATAATGAAATATAGTTACGATAAATAATGAAACAACAAATCTAGCTATGAATGAACAAGAACGAAAATGACACTCATTAGTAGACAATGAAATAAATAAAGCATCACAAATAAGGTGTATCGATATGCCAAAAATTCAATAAATATTAGCAATAAAACAGACTTCCGGGACAATGGAAAATACAATTTCGAAATATATGAGACAAGAAAATATTACAAAAGAGAAAATGTTACCTTTCTCAGAGCAGCAAGACTGGGACGAGGCGAGCAGGCGATGACTTCATCAGCATTGATATATGATTCTAAGAACCTCGATGAACAGAGCAGAAATATGATTCCCAATCTCTATCACCTCAAACATTATTTTTTAATATTCGTATAGATTTATGTATAGGTGGTAGCTCAAAGTTTTTCCAGCTCAAAATCTCCAACCCATAAATAGAGATCAAGAACATTTATATAAAGGGGGATTTAGGTAAAAAATTTAGGGGGAGAGACGGGTGAATCTCCTAGAAGCTTGATACACTCAAATTACACCTCCCTAAAGAAGCATACGCGATTGTTATCAAGTAAAGAACCCAACTAGTAGGTTGGAGTTGATCCCACAAGGAAAATTATTTAGACTTAACTTTATCCCACGATTATCTCTTTTTAGTCAAAGTATTTCCGAAGCAATAAAGTAAAAGGGGGGGGGGGTTGTGAAACAAATTCCTTCAATTGTGTGATTATCAAGTGAACAAAAGAAAACTTTGGTTGTTATCAAGATGAGAGAGCATCTAGGGTGTATGTGTTCTCCACAGGTTCAAATTGCAGTATTCCTAGCTATATCAATCATTTCCTAGTGTATTACATGCTAAGTGATAAGTTAGGTATCTCTAAATCCCTTGGCCGACATCTAGCAAATTTCACCCACACCTTGGTCTAGCTACGTGTGTATAATTTATTAACCCTTAGCCTTACCTCATATTAGACATCATAATCGATGTATGACTTAGTTTTTACTTTGCACCAATCGACACTAGCCCTATTAGATAGTATCACACTAAATATATGTTGATAATTTTTTTCCTATTAACTACCTCCTTGGTCCAGCAAGTAGCAACAAGGCGAGTACTAACACGTGCCTGGTTAAAAATACTTCTAAACAAAAGAATCATCAATGCGTGCAAAAATACTATTCAATAATAGCTTAGTTACTAGTCATACTTTGTTAATTACCCATGGTTCCCATAAGCCTAGTTGTAGATTTAGTTACCTATGTTAGCACGACCGCGATTCATGTTTTAAGATGAATAAATCATGAACTTACTTAGCGAGAACAATAAACCCAGAAATTACACTTGAATTTCAAACCAAAATCTCCAAAACCATGCGGATCACATCATGACACGAATTCATCATGCAACAGACACCTCTACTATTTTTCCTCTCACTAAGGTACCAATTCTCTCATAATGTAATAAGTGCCCTGACTTCAAATAAAACAGTGATTATGCATTTTGGATACAAGATCTATTTCAACACTCGTGCTTAAAAATGAGTTCAAACGCAGTTAGTGATCCACGCCATAGGCTTGCGCTTATCTTCGCTACTTAGGTTCACCACACTAGACTCTTGGATCACTGTAGGACTTTCTCTTCTTGTAACATAGGCTCAGGGTCAGGTTTGTTACATTTGGGTACATTTAGTGACTATCTTCCCTACTTGACATTACCGCTAAGCTTTCCACCTCCTTTTTTTGTTCTTGACCCCCTATTTCTTTTATCTTCACTTTTGCCTTATTTCCCTTTAAGACATGACTTCACTTTTTTGTATCTTTTTCTCAGAGTACTCTTCCTTTTCTTATCTCCTTATTTTTTTCAACTGTTCTTTCATTTTCGCCAAGTCACATCCTTCTCTTAATTATGCATTTCTTTTGAACATCCAACACTTTTCACACCCATTTTTGGGTCTTCTTTCATAATATCCATCCTTAACTCATATGTTTTCCATGAGTCAAGGTGCACAATGCGTGATGTCGGGTCAGGGCCAAGACGAGGTCACTTTTTGTATTAGCCACCCTCAACTTAGGCTTTTGCCTAAGTCGAGATACATATGTCCAAGGAGGGACTGGCCAAAACATTATACCCTGGGAAGGTGAGTTGGTAAAAAAATGGTCTATTACTGGCTCAACATATTTAAATCAAAAGGGAACATTTATTTCATTTGGTTAACCTCTTTTAGGATAGATATGGGCTATTTTGAACAAGGGTATATGACCATTTCCTAGCTTGTATAGTAGATTTTTAGCAAGACTAACCGATCAAGTTTGAGTTAGACACAAACTGTTGAACACTCAAATATCCTCACATTCACTTGGCCCATCGTTGCACTATTAGATAATCATGATTCCCAGTTTAAGTTTTGGTTGAATGTCATGAAGTTGGTGCCTTTTCCTGTCATGTTTAGACTCAACACAAACAACTTATCTGAACCTATACTTTAAGCACTACAATTTGATGGGGGTATCATTTTTCATTAGCCATCATGCTTCAGTCTTTCATGCTTCTACACATACACTCACTAATACATGCCAGTTTAACAGAAATTTAAGCAGTCTCTTGGGGAAAAAGAATACAAACAAGTAAACCCTAATAGAGAATTGTGAGTTGAGATACTCAGACTTCACCCTATCACTCACATTCCATTTACACAACCCTAACAAAAATAATGCAATTGTCCCCAATGTAAAATAAATTATGAACATTATGATGAAAGGTGAAGCAAACCTGTGGCACATAGCGCCGAAGACCTCTCAACAAGCGAGTGGGTTTGGTTTTCCAGAGCTAGCAGGATCAGCCATTGGGTCACCATCAATAGTGCCCACATCTATAAGGATGACAGTATCGGTAATGCCATATACATCTATCTCTACACCATTCGTAGTGCTCTTTGCTCCGCTCATATGCATGGAATTGGATGCCTCTTGCACCCTCCTTTGGTGCATCTCTTCATCCACTAATGAGGCCCTCATAGCCTGTTCCAGCTTTGTATGCTCTTTTTTTCTTGAACGGGCCTCATCACCAGCCTCAGCGGTGCGGCTAAAATGGTGAAAGTTGCCACAAACACGGGGTTTGGGCTTTATCTCAGCAAGGACCTTGTACAAGACTTCAAGAACAATGTTTTCAGCTAGCTCTATCTCAGTCCTTTGCATGTCGAAAATAGCATCAATGTGGGCTCGCAGTCTAGCCAACTCTTTTTGAATGGTAGCGAGATCAGTGGTGGGTTTTGTCGGGCCAAAACACGCAGCTTAAAAGCGTCAAGGCATTTGTGAACTGCCTCAATTTGATGCTCCATCTGCTTGGACACCCGCTTCTCTATGCGATCCTTTGCCTCCGCTATGGACTTCTGCATCTATGGTTGTATGTGATGGAGTAAAGTGACTATCTGCGTCTCTAGATTTTGGACTCTAGCTAGAGAAATCACTGCTGCAGCTGGTGGTGTGGATATGGAGAGTTAGGGGTCCTATTGGCTGCATGCGAAGAAAAGGTCGGAGTGGGATCGACATGCTTTGGGAATGGAGGGATCAACCCCTTGGGCTAGCTCCACCATGTCTTCAAGATTGTCTCCCAAAGAAGGAACCTCGACTCGAGGCCCTCTGCATGTGCTACCACATTAGCCTCATCCTTGATTAGACCTATATCCAATGTCTTGATATGGTAGAGAAGTGTATCAAATTCCAGATTGACACTCCAACATCCTTGTACATATAAAAGATCAAACACAGAAATGGGTAAGTAGTGGAGATCTTAAATGCCTTCTCGTGTATCTCCACTAACATCATCCGAGCAAAGTCAATCTCTAGCCCTGCTACGATGCTGCCACCATGAGAGCCCTGTCCCATCTGAGTGATTGTCAGCCTGTGTGGGTGACACTCTGTTTCGGACCAGCAACCAAAAGAATTTGGCCGCTAAAATTAGTATGTCCTTCTTGATGCTTACTCGGGGTGCTATGACCAAGTCAACCAGCTCACATCTATCTCTATATATTGAGACAACCACATTTTCAATATCTCTCGCTTCTCCGCACTTCTTTGAAAATCACCACCCCAAATAATGTCCCACCTATAATAAAACTTCAAAGTATAATAAATCCACTCTATACCGGTGGTTGGGTCTGTATAGGATTCGTTCGATGGTTGCTTGCGAGATGTTGACCCGGCAACCTCGGACTAGTGTAGAAGTGAAAGGGTCCTGTTTGGTGGGTTTTTCCCACTTGTCCATGGGACCTCGGAGAGTGGTAGCATAGGAGGCATAGAAATCCTGCACAATCTCCTCACTATATGTGCCTAAGTCCTAAGCCATTCAATTTCACTTGTGGAAGGTAAAGAGTCGGTGCACCTCTCAAAGTGTATGTAGAGTCTCCATGAGGACTCGATGTACCTATGTGATCAGTATGGTAATCACCTCTTTTCGTTTATCATCTCAAAGAGTGTAGTGATTGTGTCCCTACATTGATGTGCAATCCCAAAGACAAAGTCAATGTGTGCCAAACCCGATCACCAGTCGATTAGGATTTGGGGAAAGCGATAAGAAAGAGGGATTGTATAGATTTGGTGATGATATGGGGAGTGATTCAGGGAGAAAATTAGAGAAATGGTTATGGATAGAATTTGGAAAGAAAATGGAAAGGGGGGAAGAATTTGAATGGTGGGTTTTCAATATAGACGGTCGGGTTTGGGTCGGTTCACTGGTAATGAGACCTCATTGACGGTATGTAGATAGATTGACAGTCTAATGATCATGACCGTTGATCACTCTTAGAATTAGAAAATTTGGAATCTTACTTGGGATTTACGGACACCATTGACGGTTCCACGATTGAACGATGGCACTTTGATGAGGTATGCAAACCTCTGCACCAGACCATTTCCTGTAGATTTCAAATCTTTCTTCCTGCACATGTAGCAATAGTTAGGCCATTTTTGTTTGTATTTTTCTAAACACATTTTAGACACAGACCTTATTCTAATCTCTAGCCAACACTAACACACATAGAACAAAGAAATGAAACACTTAGAACAACTAAACAAAACTACGATTCTTTCTACATGGAAAACAAAACCAATTGTTGTCTAGAGTACACACCTTGAGTTACCCCCAAGTAGCGCTTGATTTAACATCGCAGCACGACGGATGCCCCTTGAATACTCAGACTTCATCAAGATGATAGGCCTCAACCGGTTCTTGAACACTTTCCGCGTGCCTCAGATAGATCTTCATTGTTTACCCATTGACTATGAACCTTGTGCCTTCCTTGTTCTCCAGCTCAGCTTCTCCATTAGGAAACACTTTGGTGACGAGGAATGACCTTGTCCATTTGGACTTGAGTTTTCCCGGAAATAAGCGCAACCTAGAGTTGAATAGAAGTACAAGATCACCACCAACAACAATGATCTTGATTAAAAACTGGCAAATGCTAAATAACTAATTTAAACAGTTGGACTAAACCATGAGAGAACTTTTCTTTTCTTTTGAAAGAAAACCAGACCTAAAGTTTTTTAAAAAATAAAAATAAATACACCGAATATGGATACTGATGTTAGCATTCAAGGGAAAGGAAGACATGTAGGTTCATCAACATTCAAACAAATAAACTAAATAAGAGATAATGAAATACCCTTAAAATAAACAATGAATCAACAAATCTAGGCATGAATGAACAAGAACAAAAACGATACTCATTAGTAGACAATGGAATAATTAAAGCATCACAAATAAGGTGTACCTATATGTCAAGATTCCAATAACCATCAGCACCAAAATAAACTTCCTGGAAAACACCATTTCAAAATATAGGAGACAAGAAAATATTACGAAAGAGAAAGTGTTACCTTTATACAAGCAGCAAGACTAGGACGAGGCAAGCAGGCGATGACTTCATCACCACTAAAATACGTCTTCGAGAACATGATGAACAGAGTAGAAATATGATTCCTAATCTCTATCACATGAAAACATATTTCCTAATATTTATATATATAACTATGTATAGACAGTAACTCAAAATTTTCCTAACATAAAATCTCCAACCCATGAATAGAGAAGAAGATACATTTATATCGACGGGGATTTAGGTCGAAAATTAAAGGGGAGAGACGAGTGATTTCGGAGAAGCTATAGGGAAAAATTGACATTCCCACCCAATTACATTTCTAATTTTTTCATCCCAAAGTCGAGACAAAGCTGATCTTGTACGAGGAAATCCAACTTTTCAAAAGCACAAAAGTTGAAAAGGACGCAAGCATTTTCTATTGAATCGATTATCCTTAAGTGCTAAGTGGCTTCATCTCCAGGCGAGTAGTGACGATTCGTGCGACTGCGAGGATGAAATTATAGGTGCTTTAACTTTTGGAGCAGCATGACTGTGCTGGAACATCAAAAGAAGAAGAAACGACAAGAAACTCGTACATAGACACCGTGTGCTCCCCATTTGAGACCGTTGTTGCGCTTTCTTGAACTTTCTCTTGTTCTCCTTCACATGATGCACGTACAAGCATAGGGTGGATTCGTTCATGCATTGTCGTTGTGAATGTTGTGCTATGCCATAAATTTGGCGTTTGATTGTTTCTTTATCATTTCTTCTGGGTTTCTTTTGTGAAGGGAAAGAATTTGGGCCAGGTCGGGCTTGGAGTGGGCTAGAAATTGCTGGGATTCAAAAAGAGGTGGGATGGCTGAATTAAAAAATAAAATGGGATGGAGGTGGGCCTAATTTTCAAAAATTTGCTAAATAAAAGACCTAAAATTGGTCCTTTAAATGGGTAGAAATGAATTGCAGATTTGGCTAAAGAAAAGGGATCGAATACAACCCAAATTAATTTGGAAATGTAACCAAATTAAATTGATTGGTTGATTTGGTCAATATCTAATCAAGATGAACTGTCGTTAATTTATTAACGAGCTTCTAAAAACTAATGACATACAATTATTACTTTGATTATATGCTAACCATCGCTGACCAAACTTATAACTATCAATTACACAAGACCAAATTAATAACATATTTACTAATATAAAGTAGAAATCTTTTGATATGATATATATATATATATATATATATATATATATATATATATATATATAAACCATATCAAATATATTTATTATTCATGACTTGTGAAAATCGACCAAAATACCTAAGATGATTTTGAAAGCATTTGGATTTTATAAAGCTAATTATTCTAAGTTGTTTTTGAAATTAAGAAGCCCGTGAATTAATTCCCATCGGGATGGATCAAAATCGGGTGTCAACAATTATGGTTTAATATAATTTCTGGGCGTTGCTAATTATTAGTTTTTTTTTGTGTAAAAGTTATTTAGTTCAGTAGTTGTGGTCTAATTTAATGGGGTTGTAGTTGCAAGTAAAATCTTAGCTTAGCGCTTGTGGCTTGCTCGAGAGATCAATTTTGAAAAAAAAACTACTGAATCAATGGTCTCCGAGTAGTGGGTTGTTATGGGTTAAGCTGGAGAGAGTGATTCCTAAACTCTCTTCCGTACATTAAGCTCAAGAGATTGAATGGACTAAGGTGAAGCTTAATTGCCGCTTATTAGTGTTCGAGAGAACAAATCTGTGTAAATTGCTCGAGAGAGTGTTTGTCCCACTAAAGTTAGCTTAATCACTAATATTCAGGTGTTTAGTACTAATTGCAATTACCTGGTTTTTTTGTCTTATCCCATAATCCTACCACATCCCAAGAATCTTGTCTCCGTACTTGTCATTTCATTAATTTTCTGTTTAGTTAATAATTGACTGAAAACCCCCTTTTTTGATAATTAACTCGCAAATGTCCTGATCTATAACTAATTCAAATTGATTCATACTTGACAATTAATTCGCGGAGCCACTCCTTGTGGGATTCGAAGCCAACTCACTTAGTTGGGTTATATTACTGACTAAGACCGTCAACACTTAGTATTGGATGAAGTGTCCTGATGCGTTAATCAAAATGACACCATTGCCGGGGAGAAGTGTTATTTGATAAATTTTAGTTAAGCTGAATTTCTAGATAGTCATAGTTGAACTTATTTAATTTTTATTTTTTATTTATGTGTTGCTATTTTGGTTAGAGAATTAGAGCATAGTGAGTAGCAATAATACCTCAATGGATCACCTTTCACTAAACTTGATGTTGTTTAGGGATAACATCATAATTTCATGCAATTGGAGAGGGAGTCCATGTGTGAGTTGTGGAAAAGGTTAAAAATCCTATTGTAACAATGCCCAAGTCATGAGATTCCAGATAAACTACTTCTAAAATTCTCCCGCTGGGGTCTTACCCCCGAAGATAGAATAATGGATGACCAACTCTCTTCGGGATGCTTGATATGACATTCCTATGAGACCGCAACCCATCTCCTTGATTATGTGGCCAAAATCAACAATGAGACTGAGAATGACCAACGCTTGGCCACACTGTTGGTTCAGATGAATACCTTGGCCTAAAGGGTCAAGGACTTAGAGGAACTATCCAAAAAGACGAAAAGTACATTTCCTCACACGAGCATTGGAATATGAAACAACAAGAGGGCAGAAAAATTGAAGAATTCCTATTACTCATTCTACACAAAGTTGAAAAACACGACAAAGTGTTGGAAGAGATAAGAGAGAAATTATTAATGTTGAACTAGATGGCGACTTCCTATTCTATGCTCATTCAACTAATAGGGTCCCAAAAATGTGGTAGCCTTATGACAATGGGGCAAACCTTACTAATGGAACTTGAATGGGGTTAAGTGTCGTGCCACAATAATAACCAAGGCGCTTCTTGGGAGGTAACACAAGATCTTTTTATTTATTTATTCATGCTTTAAAATAATGGTGTGTTGATTGTGCAGGTCCAACTGTGGAAAAATATTTAAAGTGTAGATTGGCGAGTTAAAGGTCTAGTTTGCAAATCGCAGATAGTGTTTGCGATCTTGATTTTGTCTACTGTTTGGACCTCCACATCAACTAGAGGTACTGTAAAACTCGACGAGGTAAGTGATTATTTGATGTGTCATCGAGTGACTCGGCGTGCACGACTAATGTCTCCAAATGAGTGAAAAGTGTACGATTTTTAAGGCCAAAAGTTCAATCTTTCACTTTCCCTCACTTTTATCTTCCCAAATTCATACCGACACGTTAGTTTATATATTTATAGAATCCTAAGTGTTTTATTTGTTGATTTGTGCTAAGATTCAAATACTTTTCCCCCTAGCATTTAAAATTTTATATTATTCGGCACAAGAGGTTGGTTTTCTGAACCCCCTAATTATTTTTACCGCATTTTGTATTCTCTAGCAAATGATCTTCTCTTAGTGATGTGTGTTGGGCCTCTTTGATCTTATTTGTATTGAATATGCCTATTTTTGAACTTGATATACTTGCTCGTATTTTTTTGATCATTGAAATCTCGTGATCTTGTGCTTTGAAATAAACTGAAATTGCAAGGTTGTGCTTGCGTGTCATTAGTCTTAGTTAGGTGAAGTTTTTGTAGCTTGCGGTTGCGCCAATTGACGTTATTTACCCAATGATAGAATGAGTGACATAATTCTTAAGGGAAAATGTTTTCAGATGGCCAAATTTGATAAAATCGGGAGAATTTGGATTATTCCAAGGTAATGGGTGTCATGAGTCTTTCTTAAATTTGTCTAGTGCATGATTTGATTTTTCTTTCGTGGGATTAAGGGGATGAATTCAAGTAGATGGGTTGAAAGTAGGCACGATGGGTAGCTTGGCGAGCAGGGTCGAGCTTGCGGAACCACTCAACAGTTCCCCAAAGTTCCATATTTCACCTTAAATTTCATGCTTTATGTGATATTGAATTATGTACTTTTTGTCAGAAGTTTGAGTTCGCCAATAGCACTCGACAATTTGCTTAAAGTCTTCTTGAACACCCTTTTGACTACACCCATGAACCCCTTTTTGCACTATTACTTTTGGCGAGCTAACTCTTGCTCACTGAAAAATTGTGGTGATTCGCTGAACGACCTTTTTCATCACCAAATTGCTAGAGTTTCAATGCCAATTCTTTCGACGAGCCCAATCTAGCTTGCCAAAATGATTTAGCGACTCGATGATTGTTTCGGCAAGTTTGTTCTCAATAATTTTTCTGATCCTTTGTTTGATTTTCTAACTTTGCCTCGATGTTTTTGCAGACATTGTACAAAAGGCGTAAACATGCCACCTCAAAAAAGAATATGGGGTATCACTATTAATGAAGGGAGGTCAAATCCTCCCAAAAAGGGAAGAGAAGAACCTCCACCTGGAGACAAAGGCAAGAACAAGAGCTCCAGTTCTGACAAGAAGACTACTTCCCAAGGCTCCTCTATTTCTTCATGGACCAAGGATTTATACAGTTGTAAAGACTTTTCTGGTTGATAAACCCTTGGAGGCCTCTAATACAACTAGTTTCCCTTATGATGTGACCCCGAGAATTGACGCCCAAATAGAAAGATGGGGCGAATGACTAGAGAGGATTCCCTATTTACCTCTGTGTTTGGCTTACTTTATTTCACTTTTAGATTTTTTATCATTTGCATTTGAGGACAAATGATTTTTATTTAAGGTAGGGGTAGTCCCACTTTTGTGCCTTCTTTGAGTATATATTTTGTTTTTATATTTGGGTTGTAAAATTTATCCCGTGTTTTTAATTGCATCGTGTGGATGATTAAGCTTGTGACTCCTAGTTCGACCCTGTCAAATTTTTTTGCCTCCTCTTGTTTGGAGATGAATTTGGTTGTACTCTTACTACTTTGAGTATTAGCTTCAATCAATACCAATGACTTGAATAGTGCTCTCAATCAAACAAAAATGAATGTACGGCTACGATGAGGCCAAATGAAGTTGCATAGAAAATATGTGAACTCTTTAAATCTCTTTGTTACTAGACAAATATCGAATTCAGTCTCTTGCGCTGAATATTTCACACTAGTGAAAGTGTGGAGTCTTGTTTGACTTTAGTGTCAATGCATTGTGTGATGAGCTTACCGTGAACCATGCATGTGACGCCTAGAATTTACACATGCATATTTTATTTCAAATGCATTGGAACAAAAGAGGCCCAGTTGGGTATTGACCAGACCAGGCTATGAGAATAAGAGGGTCTTTGGAGTGTCCTTTTGTATTCAATTATATGGATGATCCGATCTGCAAGGACCATGATTGGGAATTGTTTGATCGTTTTTCTCTACAGAAGAGTTGAAATAGAATCAACTTGAATTCGAGAACGCTATTCAAAATCTCAATGAAACACTTTATTTCTTATCTCATGTCTTCTTTTCATGAAAACATACAAATTGAAGTTCCAGTTAACTAAGTGATGCGATCTCTTGACATGATCTTAGGTAACTTTGAAGAGTGGAAAACAATTCGACATATACCTCTTTTATGGACAACCTTGTGAGTGTGTGTGATCCTTTCTTGAATACCCCTTGAGCCTTGAACTTTTCTTGAAATAAGCTTGATGAAAATATGACCTTTGTTTATCTATTACCCATAATCTTCATGAAGTTGTGGTTAATTTGAATAGCAAACTTAGGCCAAAATCTTTAGTTGGGGGAGTGGTGAAAAAAGAAGGTACATGAAGAAGTGCAAAGAAGTCCCTTTGACTCATGGTTTTGAGAAAAATGGAACCCCTCCATATATTAAAAAGAGAGGAAAAGATAAAGAAAAAGAAAAAGAATTGAAAAGTTGTGGA